GGTATAATGTTTATTTTACAGGATCATTTTCACAAAGCTTACTACTTTTCAAAGAGTTTTAAATCCTGACAATGCTACAACAACAACGCTGATATTTAGTAACTTGCCGTAACCATCAAAATCTCAAATACAGGAATAACAACGTCTGTTTTCTGTCACTTCAAATGTAATTTCCCAACAAAACCCACAGCGTAACACAGGCAGGAGATCGACACCCAGTGATGTCATCAGCAACTTGTAAAACGCAGACAGACAAATGTCTTTTAAAGAAACTAGGAAATGTGAAAATCTAATGACATCCTTCAGTACTGTAGAGCGCAGAGAGGAGGAAGACTAATGCGTCCACTGTCCGCATGCAGACAGGAAGTGTGGAAATGTTGTGTTTCCTGCCGTGTTTCTGCTGGCACACCTGGCCAGGGGAGCGGCCCTGAGGCCAGGAAGGAGCAGGGGAAAGGTGGAGGGAGGCAGGGCGTTAAAGAAGGATGTTTCAAGAGGAGGAGAGGGAGAGCATGGGAAATGCATAAAGCAGGATTGGGAAATATGGCATTAAAACTGAAAAGGGAGATGGGTTGATGACATGTGACGCTTGTCTCAAAATACTGAATGTGCTCTTTCAATATCAGAGTAGCACATGATAACAAAGGCCCTACGTAGCTGTGTACCTAACCGGATGTTTGATTACCTGGAAGAGCATCAGGACTGTTTTAGGCATGACAGCTATGTGATTAACATGATGATTCAGCCTCTATGGAGATAGACATACAGTATGACTGTCATGTTTATTGCTTACGCAGGCCTTAGCTAATCTGAACTAAACATTGAATACTGCTTTGAACCAGTATTCCTCCATCTTGTGACTGTAACACTCTCTTGTATATCAGCATGTCAAGAGGCGCAGTACTTTACCCGTACTTTTCCCGTTTAGTTCCGATAGTTCCTGGGATTTTGCGTTCACACCAAAAAGAGAACTTAGTTCATGAGAACTTTTACCCCCTTTTTAGTGCCTGCTAGAGAGGTGGTACTATCCTGGGGAGAAAAAAGTTCAAATTTCTGATTGGCTGGGCGAATTGCAAACCACGCCCCGTAAAACTCTGAAAAGTTTTGTGAAGCCGCCAATGTATTTTCTGGCATTAGCATTATTAGCATTAGCATTAGCCCAGCGCACCAACGGAGAGAGAATAACTTATGGCAACACAAAAAAAAACATGGGAGCGGTGGAGATGAGGAGGTGTCGGCGTTCTGGCGATTTACTCGGAAGCCAGTCCCCAACTCCGGGGACTTCCGGCCGGGGACTTCGGGTGGCAGTATACGCCGTGAAGTTGTTTGCGGCCTGCCAGTAAACCCAAAGCAGAAGAAGAAGAAGTGACGTCAGCGGCTTCATTTGCGTAATCTTCCCTCAGGGAATTTATTCCGGTGTGAACGCGATCGGCTCTTATAAGTTCCATGGGGGGTACTAAGTGCTGGGAACTAAGTACGGCAAAGTACTTGGTGTGAAAGCGACTATGGACAATATTCGGGGAACTATTTGTCCCATGCAGCTGTGTGTGATGACTACTTCCATTCTTGCAAGGATAATAAATACATGTATTCGGATATTGAAGCTCAAGCCGGTGACGAGTGATTATTTTTTTCCTAACAGATTCTGTATCAGTTTTAAACATGGAGATGGAGGCAGCTCAGGCACATGAACGGTGACCGTGCCTTTCAGGTGGAACTCTCTCCCTATCCGCTCTGCAGTCTCTGTAGAAGCTTTTAAAAAACTACTGAAGACCTATCTTTTTACATTGGCTTTAGTTTCTATTTGAAATGTGTGTGATGTGTTCTGTTATTACGTTTGTTCCTTTCAGGACTCCACGTGGTCTGTGTTTTGTTTTTATGTCGACCTTACATTTCTGCCTCGTGGTTATTGTATTCATGTTTCTGTGGTCTTCATTTGAACTTTTGTTCTTACTTGTGAAGCACTTTGTGAAATTTGTATTGTTATTATTATTATATTATTATGTACAGGCTAGTAAAAAGTCAAAGAGCAGATTGCATCGTTTGAAAAAAAAGAAGTAAGAGGCTGAGTGAAAATACAAATACATCCTCGGACACAAAATCCGACAAAGACCTTGAACGTGCACCCAGTGAGGCCAGGAAGGAGCAGGGGAAAGGTGGAGGGAGGCAGGGTCCGAAAGAAGGATGTAGCAGGCAGCGGTGATACTGTCCCCGGTCCCCTCTGGCCTTTAATAACTCCACAGGGGCCCGAGACCCCGCCTGGCCCCTAGTGTAAGGTCACAGTAAAGGGAAGTGGCCTTGGTCTCATAACTCCTGCTCGCTCACATCAAAGAGCAGGAGTTACTGCTTCTCTCTGACTGTATGGGAACAAAAGGGGGCTCGAATACAGTCCTCACGGCACACTAATATAAGGATATTTGTGTGTGAGTTATGACTTAATTTGCGACAGTTTTGAATTTAAAGTTGTGGTGATTAAACTGATGATACTATGGGACAAACTAAGAATGATTCATAATAATACATATATTAATAATGGCTGCATTTTATATAGAAGAGGCTTAACATGTTAGTATTTTAATATTTTTGTGATTTATTTTTAATATTTTTTATGTTAATTATTATCCCCCGTAATATTATAATTATATTTGTGTATTTGAATTTCATTTTTTATTTATTATTATGAATTATTATTATTTTTTTTCTTCATGTTAAAAAATGCTTTTGGATTTAGGGCTTACCTTAAGAATTCAGACTATAAATACATGCCTCTTTGTTTTGTTTAAACTACACTACTTGTAAAGAAATGAGTCGGTGTCATGTCAGTCTAAGATACTTGAACGTTTGGTTCACTGTTGATTGAAATCAAAACTAGTTTGCCAGGTACAAAATGTCAAGTTCTGTGTTGAGTTGCTATGAAATCTTTAGCTGTAAAGATAGGAAACATCAGGCCTGCAGCATCTCACGCACATCAGAGCACCTTCTGACACTGACACATGCTCTCATATCACTCTCAGCTGCACTCTCACGCTGAGACCATGTGGGAATTGAGCTACGGGAGGGAAGAACCAACGTCATTCCTCCTGCAGGGTCACACACATCCTTGTCGCTGTCACACGCATAGAGCAAGAGAAAAGACCCTCATCCCTCCTACCCCCCTCCCCACAACACTCAAAGTGACAGTATGTGCCCTGGAAAGGCCTTGTAGTCAGATTCTCAGAAGAACTGCACTCTCTTTAAAGGTCCCCTATTATACTGTTTTTCATCAATATATTACAGGTCTCAGATATATACAGAACATGTCTCTGATTGGCTGAAACACCAAACAGATCATTGCAGCATCCCATAATCCCCTCTGTTTCAGCCCTGTTTCAAAAGTGCTGATTCTCTGTCTGTTACTTTAGATGAAAATAAGGAGCCCCTCCCCACACCCCTCTGAGAGATATTTGGTTACAAAGAACACAATGGTGCTCTAGGAGGAGATTCAGGTGATATGGTGGGGGGGGGGGGGGTTACCTTGGTTGCTGATTGGCTAAAGCCAAAACATCGTTATGACATCATAAAGTGTCCAAAATCTGATCAGCTCATTTTCAGACAGGTTTTTATAGAAATGGATCAGGACAAAAAGAGAGAGAATCTTTGTTCCTGAAACTTTCAGAGTCTCTTTACACAGAGGGGACACATGTTGATGTAGAAGAGACATGAACAAGTGGATTTTGCCTAATAGGTGACCTTTAAAAGCTCCAGTGTGCCTAACAGAAGTTCCCTCCATTGTTACTGCTGGTGGAAAGAGAATAAGGATGAGATGGAGGAGGATGAGGATGAGGATGAGGAGGGCTGGTGGTTATGGAGGGCCGCGGGCAGGGATGGCAGTGACAGATGCAGGGTTGGTTTCCGCAGGGCTGGCACAGGCAGGAAGTCCCAGAGAGGGAGAACAAAGAGGGGGACGCGGTGACCCTGTGCCTGGGTGCATCCTGCCCCCCAAGCAGAGAGCCACGCTGGGTGATTAACACTTCCCCCGGCCAGGCCCATCACTCAGGCGTTATTACGTTGTTTTGATTCCTCTGCTATCTGCTGAAACCGCACTCTATTGAGGATGACAGTGAAATTGATGGTGGCAGGGAGTACTGGCACACCGCTGTTTATATTTCAGGGAGATATAGGAAACAATATGGCTGGTGTTTCACATGATGTACCAGAAGAGGTATTACAAACTGGGGTTAAGGAGTCCCTTGTTGTACTCCATCAGGTCACCTTCACTACAGACGTTTACAGTTCAGTCGTTTGAATACCTTGTCATAATAAAAATAAATGTGCCGGATTAATTAATCAGACTCAAGCATCTGTCGGATAGTCCAAATCCAGTCTCAGGTCGGAGTCATGTCTCTATTTGGTAGAGACAAACCAAAAAGCCTAGTCTACACATGCACAGGTAAATGTTTTTGTTTATGTTGTAGTTCCCCAAATGCATAATTTGTGATGCCTCACAGAACCATATAACTGTGTAACACTCTGAAGTTACAAGCTAAACATCTTCACCCGAGCTGGAGTTTCCCAAAAGCTCCATTTGGTGTGGATGAAAGCTCAAACCGCATGGAGCTCATTCAAGTTAAAGTCGTGAACAACAATTTTCATTAAAAGCTATGTTGGTATTGCATTGAAGAAATGCCTGACACTGCCTGTTCAATACATTTTCTTATTTGCCTGTATTTGATTTTTCTCTTAATATGTTTAGCTCCAAAACACCAAGCCAAATTCATTACAAGTGAAAACCTACTTGGCCATAAACCTCATTCTGATTGTGATTCTGAAGTCTAGTGCCAGTAAGCAACACAATGATCCTATACCACTTCAGCTTTCTCCTATAATCGAACCTGATCCCTGTAAACTCCTTATACAGAGTGGGAAAAAGGTTCCTTAAGCATCACACTTAAATATTTCATTCTTACATATCACCAAATCAGGCACACACACACACACACACACACACACACACACACACTCACCAACTGCCCACAGCACAGAGTCGTAGGTGTCCTTGTGTTCGCTGCCTGTGTGTGTGTCGGTCCAGGTCACCTGCAGAGCTCCTGAGGACAGCTTGTCCACTCTCTTAGGGACACACTCCTTCACAAACTTGGTCCCATATGCTTCCATGTAGTCCGTCACTAGACCTGCCATTTGCTGCAGAAACCAGAAGAAAACATTCAATAAAAAAACGTCAGAAATCACTGTTAGGATGTAGAATGTCTTCATTTACATTATTTAATGTCATATTCTGTTCTTGTACATATCCTATATTCGATTGACATGTATATAGACTTTTTGCACTACTTCTTAGTTTGTATTTTATTATATATGTTGCATTGTTGGAGGAGCTCAGGTCAGAATAATTTAATTGCCATTTCTAAACTGTAGCTTTGTGCATATGACAATAAAACCTTTGAATCTTTGAATGTTGAATCTTGAAACTGTAGTTCAGGGAGCAATACCTGATCAAACCCCCGGAGGGCGATGCTGCGGACCATCACTGTGGCGTCCAATCCAATGCCTGTGAGGAAGCCGGCACACTCCAGAGCCACATCTGAGCAACAGAAGGTTCAGGAATACTCAACTTTTTTTTCGAAGTTTGCATGTACAAAAGCACCTGATGTTAGACTACAATAAAAAGACTCATAGTAGCTCATAAAGAATAAGAAAAAACAGACACGGAGGCGTAAATAAAACAAGATAATGGTTAAATTACATTAAAAAAAAAAATCACGTTTGTTAATTTTTGCTTACCACATGGCCATAAAGTATCTCTGACTGACTGGTTTTGGTGTAAACTGCAGATTTGAGACACAACAAGTGCTAAGGGTTATTCAGAAATACTGGTCTATTGATTACATTTGTATTAAGTTCATAACTTTACTGTTTCTCTACCGATTTTACAAGCTCTCTGGCAGACAAAGGATACAGCTAGCTCCAACCACAAGCCTGCAAAACAGAGATAAAGACAAGCTGTTAGCCAAACCGACAATACAATAAAAACTACATTTCATCATTTGTGCAGCACACTTCGGCCAAATAAAATACAGCACGTCCAAAGTTGAAAATGTTTTATTTTAAAGTGGACCTATCATGCTATATTTGAATAATATAGTGTAAGACCATACCTATATAAGGCATATTTATACTTTTTTTTTTTTCAAAATACCAAACAGATCATGCATTTTAGCCATGCCTCATTTTGCTCAATTTGACATTTTTTAGCTCTGTTTTTGCAAGGGCAGATTCAGTGAGAACAGCACCATCTACAGGCCTGGCATATGTACTACAGCGTCTCCAGCGCTTTCGAACGGCAATGGCCGTGGCTGTCTCCTCCTGATTGGTGGAGTTGGCCCAATAGCCGTAGCGCCACCGTCCTGACAGTGTTCAAATCTGGATCAGTTTTTATCAGATCCGTTGCAGCCCCTTTTTTAGAGATTTGGGTATGGAGGAAAATAGAGAGGGTTGTGTTTTCTGACACTTGGTGAGTTCCCTGGAACACCGGGGACACATATTCATGTATAAAAGACGTACAAAAGTGCATTTTGCATGATAGGTCCCCTTTAAGTTAGAGAGGTGATGAATATTAAAATGTCATAACCTTAGAGGGAGGTGAGGATGAGTGAAGAACATGGGACAGTAAGAGGTGTATGTATGTGTGTCTGTAAGGTACGTTTATTTATATAGCACATGTTCAGACACAGAGGCAATTCAAAGTGCTTTACCTCATCAGTAACACTTAATAAGAAGACAACAGAAAGGAACACAATAAATAAACATAATGGAATAACAGATTCATAAAAACCCATGCATACAAGAGATACAGAATAGTTTAAAAACAACATTGTAAATACAGTAGGTGCTAAAACAAGTTAAAAGACTTCTGGGTAAGCAGCTGAAAAAAGTAGTGTTTTTAGCCTCGACTTAAAAGAACTCAGCGTTAGTGAAGTGTGAGTGTGTGTATGTGTGTGTGTGTGTGTGTGCATGTGTGTGTGTGTGGTCCAGGTGAATCACACTTCTAATGCAGCCCTGAGATGTGCAGGAGGCTAATTGCCATCGTTTAGGCTAATCCCTGCAGATGTTCAGGGCTCAGGGCCACACATCATCGGCTGAGTGATGTCCGTCTCCCTCCTCTCCCCCCCAGATCTCCCTCCTGACATCTTGACATCCTCCATGCTAACACAAACCACTAAAAGCCCGCTGCCCGTTTTCTCTGCGACGGTGTAATGCACAGCTGCACTTAGCACGTATTGTGTTGAGGCTTAAGGAAGATTAGTCAAAGAGCTTTAGCTTGATAGTACACTTTCATCACTGTCTCCTTTCCCTCAGATATCTCTCTGTGTCATTGTACGAACACACAGTCTGTACAGCTGCTGCATTTGACATCTAAAAGAAGACGCTATGGATCCTTTACGATCCCTCTGACCCCGGGTAACAATGGGGACATTTAGGGGGCAGACGGTTCATGAAAAAACTGATACTTAAGGCCGCCTATGGACACTCAAAAATACTGAGAGTCTCTGCACTACTTTGAAAACAAATGTAATAACCAATTCTGTAGTTTCTGATGAAAGAAAGATTAACTTATTAACCGTCTATTTTGTGGTTTTTTCTGTTGTTGGTTTGCTACAGTTGGTAACATTAATTAATAAACAAAGCAATGTTTGCTGAAACTGGCACCATATATTGAGAGTAGTACATGATACAGATAATATATTTAAGCAATAGCTCACGACAGGCCGTGGTATATGCTCATTATATCACAGCTAAGGGGCGTGGTTCGGCCCGACGCGAAGCGGAGGGTCGACAACCCCCTTAGCTGTGATATAATGAGCATATATCACGGCCTGAAGTGAGCTATTGCTTTTATAAAACGGTTACCAAGTGTGGCAATATGAAAGAAAAATACACACTCTAATTTAAATAGTTTTTATTAGTAAATAATGATGTTCAAAATAAAATAGTCCGTCCGTTGCCTTCTGCACGAAACATAGTGCGAGGTGGTTGCTATGCAACAACACTAACAACAGCTAGCGAACATATTAGACAGAGAGCGTTGATCCATTATTTGGCTATTTATTTACATTAATGTGTATGTTGCCGTTTATTGTGCACTCACTGAAAAACTGTCCAGCATCAGTAGCATGGCTTACGTGGTTACTTGTATAGGCTGAGGTTGTTCTAGGCTGTTGCTTGGCGTGGCGAGAATATTGCTCCACTTTCTCCGGTCCCCGAGATTCGGCTTCCAGTAGCTCTGGAGAGAGCTTTCGCACCTGTGGCCACTAACGGTCATAATTTCTCTGCTTTGTTTCAAGACCCGCATCAGAAAGCTTTTGAATGGTGATACTTTTCCAGTTGGTCGACCTGCTCTTCACGTAGCTCTACATGTCGTCGTTTAGGTGCTTTTTGTTCTGGAGTTAGGCACTCCTCAATCCACTCCTCCATAGTAAGACACCCCCCCCCCCCCGGAGGTCGAAGTTAATCTTAAATGTTTTTGCGGACCTTTTTGATTACAGATTTGAAAACATCGTTGCTCGCTTTAAAAGTAGCACAATTCATTATGTCAAACCTTGGAAAGTATCTAAATATCCCTGCCCTAATGCCAAAGGAACTGCACACTGAATATGTTTTTGTGCCGTTTGATGTCTATGTCTGGACCGTTGCGTAAAAAGGAGGGTTTCTGCTCCGTTACTTCTCCGCTGCTTTCTTGTTCCAGTTTGAAAAGCAAACTGCAAGCAGTTTGCTTTTCGGCCCAACTGTATACTGTTTATCTCAGACGCGGAGGGTTACTGAGTTGTTGTGAAAAGTAACTTACAATTCTACCCGTGGTATACGCTCAGTATACCACGGCTAAGAACCAATCAGATTGCTTGATTTTACTTGTCCGTTTTATAATACATTTTATAAAACGGACAAGCCAAATCAAGCAATCTGATTGGTTCTTAGCCGTGATATACTGAGCGTATACCACGGGTAGAATTGTAAGTTACTTTTCACAACAACTCAGTATCCCTCCGCGCCTGAGAAAAACAGTATACAGTTGGGCTGAAAAGCAAACTGCCTGCAGTTTGCTTTTCAAACTGGAACAAGAAAGCAGCGGAGAAGTAACGGGGCAGAAACCCTCCTTTTTACGCAACGGTCCAGACATAGACATCAAACGGCAAAAACATATTCAGTGTGCAGCTCCTTTGGCATTAGGGCAGGGATATTTAGATACTTTCCAAGGTTTGACATAATGAATTGTGCTACTTTTAAAGCAAGCAACGATGTTTTCAAATCTGTAATCAAAAAGGTCCGCAAAAACGCTATCGACCAATCAGATTGCTTGATTTGACTTGTCCGTTTTATAAATATATTTACATTTCTTCCGTTACGAAACAAACTTACAGAGCATAAGATGGAAACATTTAAGATTAACTTCGACCTCCGGGGGGGTCTTACTATGGAGGAGTGGATTGAGCAGTGCCTATATCTCCAGAACAAAAAGCACCTAAACGACGACATGCAGAGCTACGTGAAGAGCAGGTAGACCAACTGGAAAGGTACCACCATTCAAAAGCTTTCTGATGCGGGTCTTGAAACAAAGCAGAGAAATGATGACCGTTAGTGGCCACAGGTGCGAAAGCTCTCTCCAGAGCTACTGGAAGCCGAATCTCGGGGACCGGAGAAAGTGGAGCAATATTCTCGTCACGCCAAGCAACAGCCTAGAACAACCTCAACCTATACAAGTAACCACGTAAGCCATGCTACTGATGCTGGACAGTTTTTCAGTGGGTGCACAATAAACGGCAACATACAAATTAATGTAAATAAATAGCCAAATAATGGATCAACGCTCTCTGTCTAATATGTTCGCTAGCTGTTGTTAGTGTTGTTGCATAGCAACCACCTCGCACTATGTTTTGTGCAGAAGGCAACGGACGGACTATTTTATTTTGAACATCATTATTTAATAACAACAACTATTTAAATTAGAGTGTGTATTTTTCATTCATATTGCCACACTTGGTAACCGTTTTATAAAAGCAATAGCTCACTTCAGGCCGTGATATATGGCCATTATATCACAGTTAAGGGGGTTGTCGACCCTCCGCTTCGCGTCGGGCCGAACCACGCCCCTTAACTGTGATATAATGGCCATATACCACGGCCTGTCGTGAGCTATTGCTTAAACATTACATGTCATTTGTTAGACGCTTTTATCCAAAGCGACTTACATACATTCAGTACTGTGGACAATCCCCACAGGAGACATTTGAGGTGAAGTGTCTTGCCCAGGGACACAACGACATGCTGACTGCAGTGGGACTCGAACTTGGTATCCCCTGATTTGAAGTCCAGCACACTCACCACTGAGCCACAGCCTCCCACTCCCACATATATATTCAGGGTTCCTGCAGGTTTCGCCAACTCAAATTTAAGACTTTTTAAGACCTTTTTAAGACCACTTCGAATAGAATTTAAGACCTATTTCACGGCAAGAAAGTATGAAGGAAAATTGCTATGAAAGAAGAAATACGTCCCATAATTACTTACAAATCAAATGTATTCATGTTCAACATAAGAACAATGACTGAACATAACAGCATAACAGTACAGAACTGTGTTAGACAAAAAGTGTGTATGTGTCTCTGTGTGTGCTTGTGTGTGTGTTAGGGCTGTGCAATTAAATCGTATTTTAATCGCAATTACGATTTTGGCCTGCCACAATTACAAAAACAACATAATCGAAAAAAAACTATTATTTTGCTTTGCTAGGTTGTGACAGTGCACTACAACATATTTGATCTAATTAATTTTAGTCTAATTTATTTTTATTTATCATATTTATATATGTTTAGTAGCTTGTGGAAGTGCGCTCCAAAATATTTGTTGATCTTGTTTATTGGTATTTATTATTTATTTAAATGTATAATTTATTTAATTTATTTTTGTATTGGTTTTTCAGT